TAGCTGATGGGGGAAACGTGTTCACCGGTGATACCCACCCCTCTTACTTTCCTTTTTCCTTTTTATGTGCTAGCTGTGTGTCCGGAACTTGAATGTCTCTTCCCTCTCTTTTTTTTAAGTTTATTAATTAACTTATTTTTTTAATTAAAAAAATTGTTAATGTTTATATTTGAGAGAGAGAGAGAGAGAGCGCGATCACAAGCGGGGGAGGGGCAGAGAGAGAGAGAGGAGAAAGACTCCCCTGACAGCAGAACTCACGAGCCATGAGATCATGCATGACCTGAGCAGAAATCAAGAGTCGGCCGGTCAACCGACTGAGCCACCCAGGCGCCCCGAATGGCTCTTATGTGAATAGACACAGGTTAATACATGCTGCTGTGCGTTGCTCCCTTGGGGAAGCATAGTTGAAAAACCAGAAATCTGGGCACGGCCACCAGCCAGCGGGAGAGTCCCTTACCCTCCCTGAGATTCTTTTCTCTTCGGAGATGCCACATTCCTTCTTCACCACAGATCTTTCTAGTGCTGCTCTGCAAGAACAGGGTTGCAGGCTGCGGCCAGGGGTTAAAAGGCATGGCCCTTCGCAGGCTCCCTTCTCCGGCTCTCCGATGTCTAGCCCCTGGCTGGCCACCGAGTATCAGACGAGGCATCCGACTTAAGGTTGTTGGGGGAACAAGGCAAACAGAGGCTTGGATGGCTCCGAGATGTGCGTGGCGCCTCTTTGGAAGTCGCTTGACTGGGGAGGGAGAGGGATTCTGAAACTTGGAGCGAGGCTGTTCGCCCGGCCAACGCCACTTCCCGAAAGCCTTGAATCTAAGACACCCACGCAGGGTGCAGACAACGCGCTCGGCCTCCCACTTGACTCCGGATGCCGCTTACGTGTCGCGCCTCTCCTGAACTGGGCACCCCGGAGCCCTGTCTTCTTGCCTTTCCTGGCCTCCTCACGTGCTCTCCACGGGCACCCCTGCACTCCCGTTACCCAAAGGCCAGGGGCTCCGCAGCCCCTCTTCCTGGTCTGCTGTAAGCTGTCTGCCGCGCGGCCACTGGACGTCTCCCCTCCGATGTCCCACGGCCACGTCCACCCACCGTGTCTCATCTGCGCGCCCCACCCTCACTCCCGACTGCTCTCTCTCTCCGGGGTCCCTTTCATGGTGACTGGCAGCGGGACTCATCACCAAGGCTACCCGGGGAGGCCTTCCGGACGCGTCCCCGCAGCAGCTCTCTGCTCACACCCCGCCGACAATTTGCCCATGACTTTGCCTTTCCACGTATCGCTCCCGTCCGTGCCTTCCTCAGAGCACCGCTTCCTTTTTCAAGCCAACTTTTCTGTGGTGGGGTTCCCCGTCAGAAAAAAACCCAAGCCCTTCAGGGTGACCTGCGAGGCCTGGCTGCCTTTCCAGTCTCTGGCCACTCCCGCCATCTTGGTCCCCGTCCTCCAGCCACCTTGAACTGCTGGCGGTTTGGCCCATGGTTCACAGGGCCTCCACTCTTCTGCAGGTGCACCTTGCCCCCATTGGCTTCCTCTCCTCGGGACTCCTCCTCCTCAGCCAACCCAGCCTCCTCGCCTGCCTGGCTCCCTCCTTCTCACTCTTCGGGAGTTCAAGGGGTAGCATTTTCTCCTCTCTCTGGAGGCTTCCTTGGCCCTCTCATCTAGCTCCGTGGCTCCTCCTAGGGGTTTCGATGGCATCCTGCAGTGCCCTTTACCGCAGCCTTAATGACACCATTTAAGGTGCTTCTCCAGAGGGGGGCAAGGTGATTATCTAGTGTCTGCTCCTGGAACGTGCCTGGCTCTCCATACGTGGGATAAATAAACACATTTTACAAGTCAAAGAGAGAAACTTGCTCCGAGTTTTCTCAGAGTGGCAGGGGGAATCTCAGAGTCTCATCGCATCCCGCCATATTCACGCGACTTGCAGCAGGTACAAATCCCGGTGGCTGTCCCCAGGTTCCAACAAATCCTCACAACTAGCTGAGTTCTTACACTTCCTTGTGCCACCTGTCACCAGCTCCCCCACTTAGCCGTGAGGAGCTGACCGACTGGCTGCCATCCAGGAGCTGGTGACTGACAGGTAACCTGGGCATCTTTGCTAAGTTTAAGAGAAATGAGGTAGATGGCAGAGGGTCAGCTGTCCGGGTACTGGGAGTCAAAGCTGATGCCTTCCCCTCGTGTATTCATCTGTGCCTCCAGCGGAAGCAGCTTGCAAGAAGAAAGAGAACGGTGGCATGGGGTGAGGCCGAGAAGCCGGCCACGATGGCGATGGAAGGCAGTGAGGACGTGTGGACGAAGTGACTCTGAGGGGCGGTCCTTCCTTCAGGTTGTTCTGGAAAAATAGTTGCAGAGGCAACCAGTCAGAAAGGAGACTGGTGCCCACTCCACCCCCCCCCCCCCCGCCACGACCCTATATCTCTTGGCACTTTGGCTTCCATCAGATTAGCGAAATATTTCCAGTCCTGACAGAAATGACAGCCTCAAGAGGAAAAAAGTATGTTTTCGCACTGGATAAAAGATGAAAACAACTTGAAGAAGCAAACCCATTTATATGAGGGCTTGAGTACTTGCCTTGTGCAAAACGTTGTGAGTTAGTATCTTGGTCTCAGGGGTATACTCTTTCTCCTTGAATCTTTAGAGTTTTTTTTTTTTTTTCCAGAATTGCAAAGGACATTTCAGAAACCGTGTCTGAAGTCTCAAGTGCACGAGTACAGTCAGCTCTGTGAGCGGAAGAAAAGGGAAGGGTGTCTTACTGAGAGATGAGAAAGTTACTGCCTTCCAGGACGAATGTGCAACGTGAATTAAGGTTGTTTTTTGTTTTGTTTTGTTTTGTTTTGTTTTAAAGCTTGACAACTGTAATGCCTTAAAAAAAAACTCTAATGATTTTTGGAAAGTTGAAGCAAAGTGAATTTGATTACTCTGGTAATTAAAAAAGAATTCATTTGTTTAAACTGTATTTATATAGGGGCGCCTGGGTGGCGCAGTCGGTTGGGCGTCCGACTTCAGCCAGGTCACGATCTCGCGGTCCGTGAGTTCGAGCCCCGCGTCGGGCTCTGGGCTGATGGCTCAGAGCCTGGAGCCTGTTTCCGATTCTGTGTCTCCCTCTCTCTCTGCCCCTCCCCCGTTCATGCTCTGTCTCTCTCTGTCCCAAAGATAAATAAATGTTGAAAAAAAAAAAATTTAAAAAAAAATAAAAAAAATAAACTGTATTTATATATTTTTCCAGTGCAAAAAGTATAGGATTTATGAAGCAATAATGAGTGGCAGGTGTGGTTTAGAAAAGAAATCTGAATGGAAATCGTTCCTTTCCACAGATAACAATATTTGACTTTAAAGTTGGTTGTGACACTATTAAAGGAATCCACCCACATAAAGTAAAAGCTAAGTTATATCTCAAATCATAAAAGTGCTTTTTAATTTAAAAAAGATTGTCACAATGTGTTCCCTTGTAAGCATTAATAAGTAGCTTATTTTAAGAATTATGCTTAGGGGGCGCCTGGGTGGCGCAGTCGGTTAAGCGTCCGACTTCAGCCAGGTCACGATCTCGCGGTCCGTGAGTTCGAGCCCCGCGTCAGGCTCTGGGCTGATGGCTCGGAGCCTGGAGCCTGTTTCCGATTCTGTGTCTCCCTCTCTCTCTGCCCCTCCCCTGTTCATGCTCTGTCTCTCTCTGTCCCAAAAATAAATAAATGTTGAAAAAAAAAATTAAAAAAAAAAAGAATTATGCTTAGATGGGGCCCTTGGGTGGCTCAGTCGGTTGAGCGTCTGACTCTTGATTTTGGCTCAGGTCACGATCCCAGGGTTGTGGGATCGAGCCCTGCATTTGGCTCTGTGCTGAGTATGGAGCCTCCTTAAGATTGTCCCTCTCTCCGGGGCACCTGGGACTTTGGCTCAGGTCACGATCTCATGGTTCAGGTCATGATCTCCTGGTTCAGGTCATGATCTCACAGTTTATGAGTTCAAGCCCCCTCTTCTCCCCACCCCCCACCCCAGTCATATATAAACAGTAAAGAGAAAAAAGATTCTCTTCCTCTCTCTCCCTCTGCCCCTCTCCCCTGCTCACACACTCTCTCTCTCTTAAAAAAAATATTTTGGAAAAATGTGCTTGTCCACACCTTTTTAGGAGTGCAGCCATCCAAATAGCAAATGATTTTCAAACGGACGTTCAGAACACATTACAGTGGGTATTATGTTTAGAGCTTAGATATTCCTTTTTTTAATTTAATTTTTTAAATGTTTACTTTTTTTAAAATTTTTATTAATTTTTTTTTCAACCTTTATTTATTTTTGGGACAGAGAGAGACAGAGCATGAACGGGGGAGGGTCAGAGAGAGTGGGAGACACAGAATCGGAAACAGGCTCCAGGCTCTGAGCCATCAGCCCAGAGCCTGACGCGGGGCTCGAACTCACAGACCGCGAGATCGTGGCCTGGCTGAAGTCGGACGCTTAACCGACTGCGTCACCCAGGCGCCCCTTAAATGTTTACATTTTGAGAGACAGAGAAAGAGACAGACAGACAGACAGAGAATGAGAGGGGGAGGGGCAGAGAGAGAGGGAGACACAGAATTGGAAGCAGGCTCCAGGCTCTGAGCTGTCAGCACACAGCCCAACAAGGGGCTCGAACTCATGACCCGGGAGATCAGGACCTGAGCCGAAGTCGGACGCTTAACCGACTCAGCCACCCAGGTGCCCCTAGAGCTGGGATATTCTTATCGAAGATTATTCATTTTAAGATTCGACAGCACACAGAGTCCCTAAGATTAATACGTGTCCTCAGCTAGAATGTGCTTTCGTGTCCTTTCCGTATCCTTAGGAAGAAAAGCCAGGCCAGGACTTCCAGGTCCCCGCGAAGCATTTCCTCTTTGCTTCTCAAGAGCACCTCTCGGTTCCTGGGTTCCAATCTTCCTTCAGCCAGTTTTTAGCTGTGAGACCTTAGCTAGGTTGCTTAACTTTTCTGTGTCCCACCTTCATCCATCATTTGGGGCTAGTTTTTTCTTCGTAGGTGTGCTGGAGACTTAAACCTATTCATGTAAAGTTTTAGAAGGGCTGATGACTGGTGCCTGGTCGATCCTCAGTAGGTACGAGCAACCACCCTGGTCGATATTGGAAAGCTCTCACTCTTTTGTGAAGAATCACATGAATGGGGGGGGGGCTTAGTTTTGAAACATCTTTTTAGTACATGCCCTCAGACTCTGCGGTAGAGCAAATCCCTTTTGGTGAACAGTCAATATTATTTAGATAAAATATCCTCTCGTCTCTGCCCTAGGATCCGTGGTCCTGCAACAAAATAAAAAGACAAAGGAGGGGGGTGGAAATCCTGGCCAAGGGAAAAGTTGCAGAATTGTTTTAAAGCGGTCATTGTATTCAGGTGGCCTGGAGGGACGTAAGGAGGAAATCAGAGCCCATTGTGGGCCCATAAACTGTAAACCTAAACCCAGTGTCTTTTCAACTAAACAGATCGCTATCAGCTCGACAGAGCCGACTCCTGTTCCTTTTTTTTGCCCGGTCATTTCCTTTCCTGAGTGTCTGTAAGTACCACCCACTTGGGTGTTTCTCAGGATTGTAGGTTTTTAGGGCAAACAGAACCCCTGGGGAGTGCCTGGACGAGCCAAATGCGCAGTGACACTGTGCGCGCGAGTGACGCTGTGGCTGACATCGACCCCCGCTGCGGTTGTGCCCCGATTTGTGTGGATTGCCTCCCGTGTGGCCGCCGGCAGCCAGGGGCCCACGTTGGGAGCTCGGCTTGGAAGGGGGGCGGGGGTGCGGGTTTCCTGGTGGGCTGCAGGCTCTGCGTGAGAACCGCCCGCTGCTCCGTTCACCGCCGAAGCTTGCCCCGGGCCCCCCTCCCCTTGCTGCCTCTGTCCTGGGTCAGTCCAGAATGGACGAGACACCAGAGCCTCTGGCCATGACCGTCCACCTCCTGGCCAACTCTGGGCACGGCTCGCTTCTGCAGCAAACTCTCGACCGGCTCCTGGACTGCGTGTGCCCAGACGTCCGTCCCTTTCTGGTGTCAGAGCGGGTCCGGCCAGCGAAATACTACGACAGGGGCCACTCCAAGCGCTCACGGTTCCCGGGGATGTCTGTTTTGCTCTTCCTGCACGAGAGCCTCGGGGAGGAGCGGCTGTTCCGGGTCCTCGACTCCCTCCGGCGCTGGCCCTGGCAGTGCTACCCGGCCCCCAACGCTCCGGGGCGACCGTGTCCCTACGTTCTCGCCAAGCAGGAGTTCTACAGCCTGGACAGCCAGATGCCCGTCTGGGGCGTGAGGCAGGTGCACTGTGGGGCCGAGATCCTGCGAGTGACACTCTACTGCAGTTTTGACAACTACGAGGATGCCATCAGACTCTACGAGCTGATCCTGCAGAAGGACGCCACCTTGCAGAAGAGCAACTTCTGTTTCTTTGTGCTCTATGCCACCGAGAGCTTTGCTCTGCAGCTGTCCCTGAAGCAGCTGCCCCTCGGGATGTCAGTGGACCCCAAAGAGTCTTCAGTGCTGCAGTTTAAGGTCCAAGAGATTGGCCAGTTAGTGCCTCTTCTACCCCATCCGTGCGTCCCCATCAGCCGCACCAGGTGGCAAACACAGGACTATGACGGCAACCAGATTCTGCTTCAGGTATTCCTGTTTTGCCTCTGATCTTTGTAGACGCACATGGCACTGTGTGATTTTATGTCTGAGATGGGCCTTAGCGATGATCCGATGCAGTGGTTCTCAACCTTGGTGGCACGTCACAATCCCCCGGGGAGCTTGGCTTGGAAAACGTCTCCTGCCACAGCAGCACCCCAGGTCAGTGAGACTGGCGTCTCCGGGGGCGCCTTGGACGACTCAGATATGTAGCAAGTGTCAGGGTTGAGCGTCAGTGGGCTAATAAAATCCCCTCATCTGACAGATAAGGGAGTTCAAGCTCCGTGAGCTTGTAGCTTATACAAGATTGTCCTTTAAAACTGCGCGCAAATACTTGGCCCACTCTTGGTTCAGAAATAGTGTAAGCTCCTCCCATCCGACCTAAGGAAGCTCAAGCTGTAATTATAGTTGGGGATGTTAAGTTTGCAGTCCTGTGGACGTAATATTTTCCCTGTTGACTTATTTAGTTTTCTTTTTTATTTAATTTGAGAAAGAGAGAGAGTGTGTGCATGCGTGAGTAGGGGAGGGGCAGAAGGAGAGAGAACCTTAAGCAGGCTCCACATCCAGCATGGAGCCCGACCCGGGGTTCGATTCTACAACCCTGGTGATCATGATCTGAGCTGAAATCAAGAGTCCGATGCTCAACCGACTGAACCCTCCCAGGTGCCCCTTGAAAACGCTCCTTGAGAACACTTGACCTCATTTTCAAGCACCTTGTATCACTGTCAAATTCTACCCCAAATCAAGCTAGATGGTTCGAACTCCTTTAAAAAATAATCTTGATAGAAAAGCCTTCTGTAAGCATCCCCTATAAGCCAAGCACCATCCTGATAGCGCTCATGTGGCGTCTCTTGTGGAGTATTCTCTTCCGGGTGAGCCTGGCACCTAGAAGCTGCCTGGCTTAGTCTGGGTTTCTTCATTAGCACAACAAAGGTAATATCAACATCTTCCTAGAGTGTGGGTTGTTGTGCACACGAAATGCCTTAACACTTAACGCCCACAATGCAATTTTAACTATTATTATTGATTATGACCTAGACTAATGTATTACGTTGATTACTTCATTTAATTCTTATTTAAAAATTTTTTTACCGTTTATTTATTATTGAGAGACAGAGCATGAGCGGGGGAGGGGCTGAGAGACAGGAAGACACAGAATGTGAAGCCGACTCCGGGCTCCGAGCTGTCAGCACAGAGCCCGACGTGGGGCTCGAACTGACAAACTGTGAGATCATGACCTGAGCCGAAGTCGGACGCTCAACCGACTGAGCCACCCAGGCGCCCCATTCATTTAATTCTTATAACAACCTAGGAAATCACTATTTTTCCCATTTTGCAGATAACAAAACTGAGGGGGAGAGATTCTCAGTGAATTGCCTCATGCAATTCACTCATGTAATTCACTCATGCAATTCACTCAAGACAACTCATGCAATTCTCCATTCTTATCCAGTGCTCTGTGAGTGTGCATGCTTGTGTAAGTGTGTGCAGGCAGGGCATGATACTCACAGCAAAATGTTCTATGGCTTCTGTCCTTGAGAAATGGTCAGAAACCCCTTTAAGGCCGATTGGGTACAGTAATAACAGGACAGAAGACAAAAAGTCTTTCCCTTTGATTAATGTTGTTGTCATCAGCTTTGAGCTATTAATAACATATGAATCATAGTGATTCTGTGTTAAAAGATTTCTAAATTATTTACTTCTTGTTCACCTAAGGTGGACAGGTACTCTTTCTGTCGGTTGCCTTGTAATTACCCCAGCAATTTCCAAGGCATCTAAAGTTTCTGCTTCAGCCCCGGTTAATCTCTGGAATTTATAATCAACCTCACTGCCAAACAAACATTTAATATGTGTGTGCAGCAGGGGGCACATTTTTTAAACTGTTCTTATTTTCAAGATTAAGCCAACCAACTCGGATCTAAACCAATTTCTCTAACCAATTCTCTTCTCTAAACCAGTTTTTGCATCCAAGGGAATGGGATCATGGGGGTTAGTATACTTCTCAGGCAGAGGCTGATTTTCTGTGAAGTCAGACCCTCCTGGGACTCACAGGGGAGGGTCCGGGACTCACAGGGGAGGGTCAGGGACCCCCAGTGAAGATCGTAGGGAAACAAATGCCCGGCGGCCCAGATGACTGATGTTGACCAAAAGAAAGAAAATAATACGTATTCAGTGGAAAACCATAACTACGGATTCACCTCTCCACAAATAACCCTTCCTCAGCGCCGGAATGGATGTGAGTGTGTGGGCGGGTGATGGGCAAAGCTTCCTGAGGAGTGATACCTGGGCCTCCTGAAGCTGGACAGCCCGGAAGGAAGGAGCCAGATGGAGAAGGGAGGAAGGTGTTATAAAGAGGAGAGACCGTGGGTGACAATGTGTGATGTGGCATTTCCTTGGCAGGGCATGTAAAAAAACACACACAAAAAACAAACAAAAAAAACTGCCCGAGGTTCTGTGTGGCTGGGGTGAAGAGAGTGGGGTCACGGGAAGAAGATGAGAGGTAGGTGGGACCACATCATCAGGAAAATGGTCAGCCTCTGGAAGGTAAGCACCATGAGAGCAGGAACCTCTGTCCTCCCAGTACCTAGGACGGCCTGGTGCATGGTAGGCAAATACATTCTCGTGCGGACGAACAAGCGTCTCGCTAAGGAGCTTCTATTTTATCCTTATTGTAATCAGCAGTCACTGATGGAGCCCGTGCGTGGTACTGACTGGTACAATTAGGTATGAGGATCAACAGAGAGAAAATAGAAATGGAGGTGCTCTGTAAAGTGGACGCTGTAGGAGATTGTGCAGAAGCAATGCAATTCTTGTGTGTGTGTGTGTGTGTGTGTGTGTGTGTGTAAGAAAGCCACCAGCTGTCCTGCCAGAGGCACACAGTGAACAGTTGTTTTCCCAGCTGACCTGCCAGTGCAGAATGTCTGAATGCGCATTTTTGCGGAGAGTGACATTAGGGTTCATAGTAGGTGCTCAGTAAATGAATGGATGTGTCAATAAACGATCGACTATGTCCAGGTTGATTCACCCACAAATACTTTTTTATTTTTTTTAAAGTTTATTTATTTTGAGTGAGAGAGAGAGAGAGAGAGAGAGAGAGCGAGAGCACGAGCAGGTGGGGGGCAGGTAGAGAGAGAGGGGCACAGAGAATCCTAAGCAAGCTCTGTGCGGTACCGTGCACGGAACCCAATGAGGGACTTAAACCTACGAAGCCGTGAGATCAGAACCTGAGCCTAAGTTAAGAGTCGGATGGTGAACCCACTGAGCCACCCAGGTGCCCCTCGTTCACCAAATACTCGTATTGATTGTCTACCCTGCACCGGAACCTGTTTAGGCCCCGCTCTCCATTTGTCTTAGTCCTTTTATTATTTATTTATGTAAAAGAAATTTTTTAATGTTTCTTTGTTTTTGAGGGAGAAAGACAGAGCCTGAGTGGGGGAGGAGCAGAGAAAGAGGGAGACACAGAATCCGAACGCCGGCTCCGGGCTCCGAGCTGTCAGCACAGAGCCCGACGCCGGGGGTTGAACTCACGGGCCATGAGATCACGACTGAGCCGAAGTCGGAGGCCCAACCAACTGAGCCACCCAGGCGCCCCTGTCTTAGTTCTTAACGGCTGCCAATGTACGGTGGCTTGATTCTCCCCTTCCCCCTTTAGCGGTGCTTTGTCCTTGCATTTTTCCGTGGTTGCCCTGTGGGAGACAAGACAGCCGTCCCTCTTACCCTGTGGTTGGGTCTTCTTTGCCATGACACGTTGCCTTTCCTGGCGGATGGGGGGGGGCTGTATTCTCCCCCAGGAGCTTGCGATACGAGGAGCCTGCTCTGGTAGGGCTGCAGCCCACCCCCCTCACCCCCCGCCCCTGCCTTGGGTATAGGGACAGAAAGGGTTGATTTGACCAAGATTGGAGCATGTGTGACTTGGAGGATGACCGAACCGGGCTGTGGTAGGGGGTAGGGGTAGGGCTGGAGAGTTCAGATGAGTTTTTGGGGAAAGATTGTGGCCCGCTGAGTATAGGTGCAGGGGGATCTACGACAGGCAGCAGAGAGGCGTTTAGTAAGGTTGTTAGAGAAGAAGCAGACACGGTAGGTCCCTGTAAGATTCAGTTTAGATGATGACGCCGGCACCATCAGGGCGGGTAGATTGGATGAGTGCCAGATGGACCGATCCAGAGGTGACTTCGACGGCCCAATCAGGGACTAGCAAAGTTTTAAGTAAGGGAAAGCACGATGGAAGCATGAGGTTAAACATGAACTGTGTTTAAAAGAGAAGGGAGGTGACGATGGGTCTGGACACCTCGGGGCTTGAGATGCCTGCAGGTCATTCGGGTGATATTCCGGAGTCAGGTGGCCCCTGAGGGCAGGAGCTTGGGGTAGGGACACGAGCGGGGTGGGGTTTGGGGGGGAGATGGCTGAAGCCCTGTGCAGAAGTGGTGGTAACCGAGGAAGCGTGTGTAGAATTTGAAGAGAAGGAAACAGAACCTACGAAGCGTCCACACTCCGGGAGATGAGAGAGAGAAGAAGAACTGGGGAACGAAAGGGAGAAGCAGGCACAGACCGTGATGTCGTCAAAGCCAGTGTGTACTCGGTGGCGTGAATTTTCTCGGGTGCGCTAGAACGGGCCCCTGAGGTTCTTCCAGCCTCCTCTCCTCATCGGGCCGCTGCTCTCTGGTTGTGTTGCCAATAACCCCGGGGAGATCAGCACCAGCTACAGGGCCGTCCCACCTCCATGGGTAGCTGCTGCGACCACCATGGGCATGTCCTTGCCAATGTCTCCATAGCACTACTGAAGCCAGGCTCTAATTTCCAACAAGGTCTTTGTGAAAGGTTGAGGCCAAAAGGGGAAAACAACAGAACATTCTTTACAGGAGAGGTAACTTACAAGCACCTCTGGGTGTCACCATTCAGAGCTCCATGGCCAAGACGTGACCTTGAGGTCCTCTCACACGTCTCCGTGTGTGCTGCACATGTGTCACCAGGAGGTGCTCCAGGACAAGCAC